CCGCAAGGAACGGTCTTACGATTACTACATCGACAACGAGACGAAGAGTTTCGTTCCCTGGACGGAACGACTTCCGAAGTTCGAGCTCGATCCGGAAATACCTCTGCAAGCCGTTCTGGTTTACACGTCGGAGTCCATTCGAATCAAATACTTTCTCGATTTATTGATGCCGGAGAAGCATCCTATAATGTTAGTCGGCACGGCTGGTTGCGGTAAGACCGTCCTTGTCGCCGAGAAGCTTCTTCATCTTTCGGAAAATTATGCAGTCTCCAACGTGCCGTTCAACTTTTATACCTCATCCGAGATGCTGCAAAAGATCCTGGAGAAATCGTTGGAGAAGAAGGCCGGCAGAAATTACGGACCGCCGGGAAATAAAACTTTGGTGTATTTCATCGACGACATGAACATGCCGGAAGTGGATACGTACGGCACCGTTCAGCCTCATACGCTCATCAGACAACATTTGGATTATGGTCACTGGTACGATCGTACCAAATTGACTCTCAAAGACATTCATAATTGTCAATACATTAGTTGTATGAATCCGACCGCTGGATCGTTTACAATTAATCCGAGATTGCAAAGGCATTTCGCAGTATTTGCTATTAGTTTTCCAAACCTAGACTCCTTGACGACTATCTATACCTCGATTTTGTCGCAGCATCTCGCAAACGTGGAGCACAGGTAACGTTGAAATAAATAATAAAAATTTTTCACGCAATAATATAATTTTTCTCGCGAAAATATTTTCTCAAACAGTTATTGCGTTAGTGTTAATTTAGAATTAATAATTAATTAATAACAATATTAATTAGGTTTCCTCTGACTGTCACCGACTTGTGTCCCAACATCGTACAAGCAGCCATTCAGCTGCATCATCGATGCGCTCAAATGTTCCTACCGACAGCCGTAAAGTTTCATTACATCTTCAATCTTCGCGAACTTTCTAACTGTTTTCAAGGTCTGTTATTCAGCGGCAACGAGTGTTTGCCGGCTTCGGTCGATCTAATTAGACTCTGGATGCACGAGACTCAGCGTGTCTACGGAGATAAACTAACGGATGAAAAAGATATCGAAAGTTTTTTGAAATTGCAACTTGATATCTTGAAGAAAAATGTAGAGGAAGTGGATGAGGGCGCGATTCTGGAAAAGCCGAACATCTATTGCCATTTTGCAGGTTTGTACATCTTAACTTTATTTGCCAATTTGCTATTTGCTATTTTTGGAAAGTTAAGAGTGTTCAATTTTAATGTTTTTTAAATATAATCAAGACTTGCGTTTTGTCACGATTAACAAAATAAGTATATAAAAGTATTTTTATGTAATTTTTTTTCGAAAATTACTGAAATTATAAAACCTTCAGGAGGCGTCGGAGAACCAAAATATATGCCCGTTAACGATTGGGCGACTTTACATCGATTGTTGTCAGAAGCAATGGTCAGTTATAACGATTTGGTGGCGGCCATGAATTTGGTACTTTTCGAGGACGCTATGATGCACGTATGTCGCGTAAATAGGATCCTGGAATCACCCAGAGGCAGCGCACTCTTAGTAGGCGTGGGTGGTTCCGGCAAACAAAGTCTCTCGCGATTAGCAGCCTTCATAAGCTCATTGGAAGTCTTCCAAGTTCAGCTGAAGAAAGGCTACGGTGTAACCGACCTGAAATTAGAACTCGCCGCTCTTTATACAAAAGCAGGTTTAAAAAATTTGGGCATTATGTTTTTGATGACGGACGCACAAGTGCCGAACGAGGAATTTCTAGTACTCATCAATGATATGCTCGCATCGGGAGAAGTGCCCGACTTATTTGCCGAGGACGAAGTAGAAAATATAATAGCAGGTACGCAAAGCTATCTTGTGTGATATAAATTCTACTAAAATATAAAATAATTACCTAACAATATTTCTACGAAAATATTTTCGTTACATCTAATTTAATATTAATTATTTTCTACATTCATTAAGTTTGTTATTTAGTCAAATGTATGTGATAAATGTAACGACAATTAATGTAAATGCATGTATTTTATTTAAAAAAAGGAGTTCGTAATGAAGTAAAAGGCGCAGGCATGTTAGACACACGTGAAAACTGCTGGAAATTCTTTATCGATCGCGTCCGCCGACAACTCAGAATAGTGTTGTGCTTTTCTCCGGTCGGCTCCACGTTGCGAGTCAGATCCAGAAAGTTTCCGGCAATTATAAATTGCACGATGATAAACTGGTTTCACGAATGGCCTCAGGAGGCATTAATGTCCGTATCGAAGAGATTCTTACAGGAGCTGGAGGAGCTGCCGGAAACCTACAGGTGCACAATAATAATGAAATGTGAACGAAAGCAGTGGCAATGTAATTCGAAATGCATCTTTGATTACAGAGAGTCAGCTGCCAAATTCATGGCCCACGCGCATACCAGCGTAAATATAGCCAGTCGTCATTATTTAAGCAGCGAGCGTCGTTATAATTACACGACTCCAAAATCGTTTCTGGAGCAGATAAGTTTGTACATCAGGCTGTTAAAAACGAAGACCGCCGAGCTGCGTGCCAGAGTGGCCAGACTGGAAAATGGCTTGGACAAATTGAGATCAACGGCTGTGCAGGTGGACAAGTTGAAGGAGAAGTTGGCTGTGCAGGAGGTGGAATTACAGCAGAAGAACGACGCTGCAGACGCTTTAATCGCTATAGTCGGCATCGAGACGGAGAAAGTTCAGAAAGAAAAGGCGATC